CCTAAAGCCCTAAACCCTAAAACTCTCCGGGCAGGCTGGACATGGAAACCGTGTCTGCGCAGCACCCGCAGATGCTGGGAGTCCTGAAGCGCAGATTGGTCCGAGTCCAAGGTTCCCCCAGGGTTTTAGGGTTTAGGGTTGGGGGTGAAGGGTTCAGGGTTCAGGGTTGGAGGTTCAGGGTTCAGGGTTCAGGGTTTCGTGTCTAGGGTTCAGAGTTCAGGGTTCAGGGTTTAGGGTTTAGGGTTTAGGGTTCAGGGTTTACTTGTAGGATCATGGGACTTAGTAACTAGGGTTATAAATAAGGGAACTATAGTTATTATTAATTATAACCCCAATTAAGGTAGTTATAACCGTACTTACTAAGTCCCATGATCCTCCAAGCAGGGTTTAGGGTTCCCAGAGACTCTGTAAGGGGGTTTAAGGGTTCCGTTAAAAGGGGTCTGTAATTCTACTTTAAAGGTATAGGGTTTAGGGTTCAGATGGATCCCAGAGACTCCAAAAACCCTGCAATGAAGGACTATACCTCAAGATCATATTAGGGATCCCTAGTATAATCAAACGCTAAGCCCTAAACTTCAACCCTAAACTAATCTTAAGGTCTATTCCTTGATTAAGGGGTTCTGGAGTCGCTAGGGAGGCCGTGGGTCTCAAAAGGCGCTGCTTGGGGTTTGAAGTTTGGGGTTCAGGCTTCAGGGGTTTTGGGGCTAGGGGTTCAGGGGTTTAGGGTTTACCCTTTTGGGGTTTAGGGCGTTAGGGTTTAGGGTTTTGGGGTTTAGGGTTTTGGGAGTTAAGGTTTTTGGGTTTTGGGGTGCGAGAATGCTCAAAGCGATGAGGTCTGGAGCTACATCTAACGGGGTTCGAGGTTTAGGGTTTAAGGATCAGATGCAAACATGCTGCGACTGTAGATGAAAGCTGAGGATCAGTCGAAAAGGCTTGCAGAGCTTTGGGCAGGGCTCTCGGCTGTTGATGTCAACCGCGTCATACGGAGGCTTCATGTTTTGAGGAGTCGCTTCACGCCCTAAGCTCTGTACCTAAACTCAAAGTTGTAAGCCCTAAGCCCGAAACCACTCAGGTGCAGGGCAACATCTCCGCAATTGACAAGGTACTCACGCTGCCCCAGGACCCCTGGACTCTAAGCACGAAGACTCCAGGCCTTGGGATATGTCAGTCTCTCGCATTCTCAAGTGTTTTAGGGTTTAAGGTTCAGGATCGTGGCATCTCATGTTCTGAGGGAGAATGCGGGAGCCGGTCTGGACGTCGTGGAGAGAGGAGGGCCGGTGCTTTCTGCGCGAATGCTTGAAGGACCAAGACGTGCTGTGCGACTTCTGCAGATCACTGATGCAGTATCTCGGTGTAAGACATGCCTTTGGACCACAGTCTCGGGCAGCCTTTCAGCTGTTCCTTGAGCATATAGCTACCCTAACCGGAACCTTGCATCCTAAACCCCTGAACCCCCAAGAAACCTCTGATCGCTGAACCACTGAACCCTAAACCTCTGAACCCCAAGCCTTTAAACCCCTCAGCATGTTTCTTTAGATGTGCAACAAAAACTAAGGATGAACCGCAAGCCCTTAAACCCCTCAGCAGGTTTCTTTAGCTGCGCAGAAAACTAAGGAAAGACCTGGGCGGCGTGCTGAACCTGGATGCAACTTGTCCTGAAGGGGAAGGCGGCACAGGGTTCAGTATAGAATACATACCATGTAGTTTGTCACAATAAATGACATGACATACATACATAGATAGATGTACACACACACACATATATATATATATATACACATACATACATACATACATACATACATACATACATACATACATACATACATGTGT